ATTACTTGGTATCGTCTTGCCTTCGTCTCCATTTGAAGGTTCTATACCTACACCATTTATTCCCTCTTTTATTGTTCTGATGCTATTGTCATTTACAGATTAACCTCTCTGGTTCCCTTTTGTAATTCTTTTGGTTTTGCATAGTCCTTAAGTGTTCATTTCCTAGGTTGGTATCTGGCTAGTACAATCCTGTGTCCTATATTCAGCCTGTGGTCTGATGTTGTTTGTTCTCAGATCGAAGGACGCCCTTTAATAAGTCTTGTAAGTTCGGTTTGGGTTTTACATAGTCCCTTAATTTCTGTTAATTGGGAAATGACCTAATTTCACCATTATATTTGAACAAGAGTTTTTCAGGGTATATTACTCTTGGCTGGCAATTTTTTTCTTTCAAGGTTTTATATATGTCACCCTGTTGCCTTCTTGCCTGCATGGTTTCTGCTGAATAATCTGAGCTTACTCTTATTGTTTCTCCTCTGTATGTGACTTTTTGTTTTTCTTGAGCTGTTCTCAGGATTCTTCGTCTTTGGTTTTAGCGAGTGTGTTTACGATATGCCTTGGTGATTTTCTTTTGGGGTCTATCCTATATGGGGTTTGTTGAGCTTCTTGGGTGGTCAGCTTTTCATCTTTCATGATATTGGGGAAGTTTTCTGTCAGCAACTCTTCAATGATCCTCTCTGTGTTTTCTGTTTTCTCCCCCGTTCTAGAACTCCAGTCACTCGCAGATTTTTGCTTTTGATTGTATCCCACGTAATTCTCAGGGTTTCTTCATTTTTCTTCATTCTTCTTTCTGATTTTTCCTCGAACAGAGTTGTATGCAAGTGTTTGTCTTCAGTTTTGCTGATCCTGTCTTCCATTGTTTCAAACCTGTTCCTCAGCCCTTCTATGACACTGTCCATTTCTGAAATCTTGTTGTTTATCTTTTGGATTTCTAATTGTTGTTTTTGTATGTTTTCTAGTTGTGAATTTATTTTGGCATTTTGTTCCTGTATTGTTTTCCTGAATTCTTCTATTTTTTTGTCTGTATTTTCCATGAATTTGTCTGCCTTTTCCATGAATTTGTCTATTTTTTCCTCATTTTTGTCTGCTTTTTGCTTCAACTCTTGGATAATTGTGAATATTAGAGATTGGAATTCCCTATCAGTTAGGTCTAGTGCCTTTTCTTCTCCTGGAAGGTCATCTGGTCTTTTATTTTGGAGGCCTACTGGAACCATCCTGTCCTGTTTTTGTAAATGATATTGTCTGCTGTCTTTGGGGCATTCAGTGGTTATTTTCCTTGTTTATTGATTGTAGATTTGTTTGTTTCATCCTGCTTTTTTGTTTTATTTGGTTATGTCTGAGCAGGCAGGCTGTGTGTTCTTTGTTATTTACTCCTCTGTGGGCATGATACTTTTCAACTCCTTCTCCAATGGGCATGGTCAGTCACTCAGGTATGGTACAGCAGGGCAGGTCCAGCTGAAGGGGAGTTGCTGGGATGGGTTGTTTGTGGCACATACCAGGACTGACAGTGCAGACTGGGAATCAGTGCAGGGCAGGTTCCACTAGGCCACGCCTGTGCTGCTTGGGAGTGTGATGTTCAGCACACAGTGCAGGTTGGCAGGAAGAAGGGGGTAGATTGTGATATGTGGAGCTAAGGTGGCTATGGGAAAGATGAGAGAGAGGAGAGAGGAACAGGAGCCGAAAACATACACACAACAAAAAAGAGTGCTAAGGGAGCTTGCTATTGGAGTGGAAAGATGAGAGACTGAGAAATGAGGAAAAACAAAAATTTAAAAAAAAAAAAGAAAAAGGGTGAAAGAAAAACAATGAGTAAGTCAAGACACTGGAAATGAAGAAAGACAAAAAGGAATTTGAGAGAGAAGAAAACAAAACAAAGAAACAAAAAGAAAAAAGAAATGCCCCCAGGGATGTCACCGTGTGTCTGCTCAGAGTAAGGGAGTAGCTTCCAAGCCACGTGGTACTGCCTGGCTAGAAGGGGCTCCCAAGCCGAGAAAAGAAAAAGGAAACAAACAAATCAGAGCAAACAAACAAAAAAGTCCCGGGGGTCCTATCAGTGTGGCAGCAGGGACCGTGAAGCAGTTTCACATTCCAGTGGAGTTTCACAGCCTTTTAGGAAGAAGCAAAGGTGGCGCGTGGGGCCAGGTATTTGAGAGAAAGGAGGGGGAGGTGGTGAGAGGTAAGGAAGAAATCTAAGGAAGCAGAACACAGCAACACCAGCAGCCAACAAAAGGTACTCAGGGAGCCTGCCAATGCGGGCAGATGGAATCCAAGTGACACTGGGGTGTTTCTCGGCCAAGAAACTGTGGCTGCAGGAAGCAGAGGAGGCTAAGTGGGGGTGAAGAAGGGTAGGGGGTGGGAAAGCCTATATCGCTGGTTGCCGGTTGTTCTGTCTCCTGCTGGAAGCTCCGTGAAACTGCTTTCTTGTACCCCTGTTCACTGATCTCTGATAGGAGTCCAAGATTGCAGATCCGTGCTGCAGTAGCTGATAGGGGACCTCTGCATGTATCTCTCCTCACTCTCTGTTCTCGTTCAGTTTCTTATTCCATTTGGTGCTTGGCTGAGTTCTTATCTCTTCATTTGATGCTTAGGGTTTCAGGATTGATTGACGTGTGACTCTGTTTGACTTAGTTTTTCTGATCTTTGCTGCAAGGGACTGCATGGTGCTTCTGACTACAGTGCCATGTTGTCCAGAAGGCTTAGAAGATGTAATCTTTTTTAAGAACTGTTTTTCTCATGTGAAATCAACATTATAGAGACAAAATAGAATCAGATTTATTTCACAAATTAAAAGAGTTTGAATTCTTTTGATGGATGAAAAGAAGTGGTGGTAAATATGTTGTCACTTCACATTGGGGACATAGAAGTTAATCAGTTTCTTCACACCTGGTTACAAAATTAGAGTCCCTGGTTGGCAGGTACAAGGAGCACTGGTGGCACAGTGGTTTAGAGCTATAGCTGCTAATCAAAAGGTCAGCAGTTTGACTCCACCAGCCATTCCTTGGAAACCCTATGGGGCAGTTCTACTCTATCCTGTAGGGTCACTGTAGGACTGTTTTTGAGTGGTACAAATGGTTTGCGCTCATCTACTAGCCTAAATGTTGGCAGTTGAAACCCAACCAGCAGCACTGTGGAATAAAGGCCTGGCAGTCTGCTTCAATAAAGATTACAACCAAGAAAAGCCCATGGAGCAGTTCTACTGTGTAACACATGAGGTCACCATGAGTCAGAATTGACTCAATTGTAATGAGTTTGGTTGGGTGGCAATATATAGTGAAAATTATGGAGAAGCACTATTACTATTCTCTTAAACCAATCTTGTCCTTCAGTTCTTCTAGGTACAACCTGATCTTTTGAGATGAACTATTTTAGGCAGTCTAGTTTAACCTCAGAAATGGTATAATTTCTCTTTTTCAAAATCATTTTTTAATCTATTTAACCTATTTAACTATAACCAAATTCTTTAAAACTTTTGAAATACATTATCATGAAATTTCCTCACTTATCATCATGTAATTTAGAAGAAACACCTAGATGATATATGTCATTTATGTATTTTAAATAATTTAAGCTAATTGTGCTTTACCTGTCTAGACACCTTGTCCCTTTTAGTTTTCTCATTCTCTATTATTCCTCTCACAATTTCTTAATTTAAGATGTAAACATAGTATTCTCTTATTTGAAGATTTTTTTTTTCCTTTCAGCTCAGCAAGAAGACGATGAATTTGTATGTCAGATAATTTATGTCTTCTATCAGATGGTTTTCCACCAAGCCACAAGAGACGTCATAATCAAGGAAACACGTATCCTTTTAATGTTTACAATAGATAGCGACATTTTACATATTCAGAAAAGATGCGTCTTTGTTTTTTCTCTTGCGGATGCTCAAATAATGTAGCAGGCATCAAGCTTTGAAATGAATTTAGAGAACAAGCTATTTTCCATGAAAGTCGTTGACCCTAAATCAGTATATAGGTAGACTATAACACAAACAATTTTGTTAACTTGTCAGGCTGTGATTCCAAAGAAACTCAACAAACATATCAGAAGTTCCTTCTCCACTAACTTAACTTGAATATAAAGAGGTACCTGGGACTATCCTTACTCCTCTTCTAATCTTCCCTTACTCATTCTACATGAGAAAGCACATCTATTGCCATGACTTCAGATACCGTCTAGATGCTATTTAATATCTTCGAAATCTCTTTCTTGAGCTCCAGACATTTGTTGCTAATTGACACCTGGATGTCTTCCACCTACCTAAAGGAGCATAACATGGTATAGTCTAAAGAGCATTATAATCAGTTATTTTAAATTACCGTTTCCCACTTACTGACTACAGTTACTTAACCTCCTGAGCACATTGATTTTGCATCAGTAAAATGGCCGAAATATTAGTATTAAAAAAAAAAAGACCATGTACTTTATAGAATGTTATAAGTATTAATGGATTTAAAGTACCTATAATAGTTAACTAACACATATGGGTACTCAGTAAATGGTAGTTTATCATTATCACATCCATAAGGGAATACAATATTGTCACCAAAATCCCCTGCAAGTCCCTGGGTAGTGCAAACAGTTAAGCGCTCAGCTACTAGCCAAAAAGTTGGTGGTTCAAACCCACCCAGAGGCTCCTTGGAAGACAGGCCTGGTGATCTGCTTCAGAAAGGTCACAGCCTTGAAATTCCTAAAGAGCAGTTCTACTCTGCACGTATGAGGTCACCGTGAGTCAGAATCGACTCTACAGCAACTAACAACAACTCCACTGCAAAAACAAAGCAAAAAAAAAAAAAATAGTCTGCCTCCTATATTATTATAGTGGATGATAGCAGTATCACTCATGCAGTCTCTTAAGCTGAAAATTTTGGTGTCTGCTCTCTCTTTACTACCCATAATTAACAATTTATTCTACAAACATCAAGGACTGACCGTCTAACAGATAAACTATTTAAGTGCTGGAATAAAAAAAAAACTCAGTCCCTGTCCTCAAGAACTTTATAGTCTAATCGGAGAGATAGATAAGCAAATAAGAAATATAAAATTATACTCCAGTGTGATCATTGTCATAAAGCTATATGCACAGGGCACACATGGGATATATAAATAAGCCTGGGGCTATCATGGCAAGTCTGATTGTGGAAATAATATTGAAGCTGAATGTTTCTTTGCTTTTTAATTGTGTAAAAAAAAAAAAAAAATGTTTTTTCACCTTTGAGCTCCTCAGTGTAAAATCCGTCATTACCCATGTGAAAAATCTAAGTTCTTTCACTTAGTATGCATAGGTCTTTATAACCTGACTTTAACCTATTAATTTTTCCAAAGTGATACATTCCCCTTTCACCTCACAATACACAATTTGCTCCTAACACATTAAATGTTGCATAATTTATCAGACGTGACCCACCTTGTCATAACTCAGTGCCTTTTCATGTGCCTTGTCAATCTCAAATGCATGTTTCCCCCCTTTTTGACCTGACAGTTTCCCACTTTACATGCCATCTTCTCAGTAGAACTTGTTTCTTTTTTTCACCTCTGATAAGTACTTAAAATGTCTATTTTATCTGCCTTTCTGTTCCAAAAGGTTTTGAGTTTCTCAAGGTCGGGGTCTGGCTTTGTCTTATTCATCTTTCTCTATACCCAAAACTTTAACACAGTACCTGAAACATGTTACCTATGTGGTTGTTTAATAAATAAATTCAGATGTCTAAATAGTTAATGCTCTTTTTAAAGTAATATCTTAGGATACCTTTTTTTTTTTCTTTCTGTTTTTCTAATGATGCTGCCATTGCTCAGAACATTTTGAAACTCCTCTGGTGTTGCATTCAAAGCCAGTGATACAATCTTTAAGTGTCATCTTTGGAGAAAAAACTGCCTTGCTTTTGAGAGCAAATTTAATTTCTGGAACCATATAAAGTCTTTAAGAGTCAAGGCTAAAGAATCACATGTCTAATTGGAGAGATGTTCATTTTTATATGGGCTGTCAAAATACAAATACTGTTTTGCCTTAACAGCTGCATTAGAGAGATCTCATTTTATCATAATAAGTATTTTTTTATGTCACTTATAAGTTGACTATCTCAGGAAGATGAATTCCAAGTACAGTTTCGAGAAATGTTAACATCATTGGAATAAATTAACTTTTCTCGCGCTGTACTCCATGGAACATGCTTCTTGAGTACCGGTAGTTTCTTAGTGAAAAAAAAAAAAAGCTCTGTGGCAAGCGAGTTTGGGAAACACTGAGTTAACTTAAACATATGTTTTTGCTACAAGATCTTCTTGCAACATTTAATTTGCTTTCCTGTGTTAAGAGTCTCTAAAAGGTATTTTATGTGTAGAATATTTGAAACTTACATGACTACAAAAGCTACTATGAGAAACACATAGAAAACACTAAAATGAAAGTGTAGCTTTCCTATGTAACTACTTTGAATGGCAACCCTTATTTACATGTCATCTCCTGGGATTTTTTGTGAGTACAAAAAAAGAATGTAGTATTTACAGTATATACCAAGTACCTAGCACATGGTACATAAGTGTTACTTCCTCTGCTCTAGTATGTCTTTTTAAAATGTACTTGCAGTATCTTAATATCAAAGCTCACAGTATTAAGAGAACTATTTGATTTTTCTTCTCATGAAATGTTCTTTTCATTTTCCCCCAAGTTTGATTTTTTATGCTATTGAGTCTGAAGTCAGTACTTATAAATAGTTATCCTGAAGAATATAACATGTTAGTAATGGTGGGAATGGAAAATGAATTAAAATTTTTACAGGAGCATCAAGAAATACTTAGAACTGATGCTGTTCATCCATGCCTTGAGATTAGATAAAGATTGATGAAGTCCTTTTGCCAAAATACCAAACTCAGAAATGCTGTGGTGTTCAAAAACTTGGATATCGTTGATGTCAATGTCTTTTAAGTAGAACATGTTGCAACTTGTGACATAATTGAAAATTACTATTAAAATATTTTATTCCTCTGTAATTTTAAGCATCGTATCATAATAGTCCCCCATAAAATCAGAATTTTTAAACATTTTAAATAAAGCATTATGCAAGAATTCATTCCTTCTCTCATTTAAGTCAAAAAATTTCATCAACATTATTTGATATAATTTCAAACAGAATAAAACTAAACATTTCAGATGGCAGGTATAGATGCATTTTGGGTAAATAACATGATTTATATTAAGTTCTCAGTACAACTAAATCACATAGGAATCCAGAACCTGGAACTGAAAGCCAGTGCTATTGTGATAAAATATTAGTTTTTATATAATCCCAACAATTACAATATGGGGAATAAATATAACTCAAGTTTGGCTAAAAAAAAACAAACTCATAGCAATCAAGTCAATTCTGACTCTTAGCCACCCTGTAGGACAGAGTAGAACTGCCCCATGGGGTTTCCAAGGAGCAGGTGGTGGATTCGAACTGCCAACCTTTTGGTTAAGCAGCCTGAGCTCATAACCACTGCGCCACCAGGCCCCAAGTTTAGGCAGATCCTTTTAACTTTTCCCTGAGAGTTTCTGAGAGTGTATTAAGAATTTTATTGTCATTTTATCCCACAAAAATCATGTGAAGTAGGTAGAGTGGGTCTTATTTACTCATTAGACAAAAGTTTATTGACACCTGTTTTGTTCTCAGAGCTGGGGATACAGTAGTGAACAAGATAGACAAAGTCCCTGCCCTAACGGAACTTACATTCCAGTGGAGGAGAGAAGCAATAAACTCCATATTCTCTACAGATTTTTTTAAAATGACTTTCAGAGTGTACACATATTATTCTGTGCATTTTTTCTATATTTTAATAGCATTAACACTGAAGAGTATAAGACCTGGGTTAAGTCCTGTCTTTGCTACTTGCTAGTCGTGAAACCGTTAGTAAACTTTTTTGCATTATAACCAGTCGTATAAACAATGTTATTTACTTGTACACATGTGCTAGAGTTTTTTGGTAGAAACATATGGCCTCTGCTTACAAATACAGTTATCACCAGGTAATAACTTCTCTTTCTTAACTCCCTTTATTTAGATTCATTGAGGTTTCTTTATGATTTGAGTTTTCTTTTCTCCCCTTTTACCCTACTTGTTTGTTATTTGGCGCAGTGGTTGAGAGCTGCAGCCGCTAACCAAAAGAACGGCAGTTGGAATCCACCAGCTGCTCCTTGGAAACCCTATAAGGCAGTTCTGTTCTGTCCTGTAAGGTCACTATGAGTCAGAATCGACTTAACAGCAATAGTTTTTTTCATTTGTAATTTATACATTCCATTTCTTTTCTTTTGGGAGTTATACCCAAATTTCAACAAGCATTCTCACCAAGTTCTAAACTTAAGGAGTGTATCTATCCTCCAACTTAAGGTCTTATATCACCACTCCCATCTTTTATGTCATTTGCTGTCTACTATAATAAGTTATAAGGGCACTGTTTAATTCTGTTCTACATAGGGTCGCTATGAGTCAGAACTGGCTCCACAGCACCTAACAACAACAACATAATAAGTTTAAGGAGTCCTGGTGACACGTTGGTTGAAGCACTCAGCTGCTAACTGAAAGGTTGGCAGTTCAAACCCACCAGCTGCTCCAGAAGAGAAAAGACCTGGTGATCTGCTCCCATAAAGATTACAGCCAAGGAAACCCTATGAGGCAGTTCTCTGTCTTACAGTGTCGCTATGAGTCGGACTTGACTTGATGGCACACAACAACATAATAAGTTTGCCTAATTTTTATAACGTTTTGTAACATCTCAAAATTAATCATTATTTTTATAATTGCTTCTTAAAATTGGTGCTTATTTAAGATTTACAGTATGTTGACCAATTTCCCCATTTACTGTCTTTTCTCAAATTCAACTTTTCTATTCCTCTTCGTTGATTTTCTTTCATAGTGAAGTGCATTCACTAGTTCTTACTTACAACTATCTGTAGTAATAAAATCTGTCTTTATCTGGAAATAACTAGTTTTCCCTCTTTAATAATAATTTAGCAGAATATAAAATTCTACGTTTACAATTATTTCCCTCATCAGTTTGAAGATATTTTCCCACTGTCTTCTAATCTGCATTGCTGCCACTGAGAAGTCTGTAGTCATTCTTATCATTGTCATCTGTCAAAATGATGACAATTTGATTTTCTTTCCTTTATAAGTAAGTTGGTCTTTTAGCCAGGACAACCATAGGAATTTTTCTTTTTCTTTAAAGTCAAGTAGTTTTAGTAGAATTTGACTTGTTGGTTGTCTTGGGTTGGTTTTTTCCGTCAAGTATGCAAATGTGCTCTTCTGGTATGCACTCTTTTAAGCCTTTTTTTTAATTCAGGAAAGTTTTTGTGAATTACATGTTTTAATTTTTTTTGTTCTATTGCTTTGTTTGTCTTCTTTGGGATTTCTATTTTGTTGGATCTTCTTTGCCTATCTTTAAAATCTGTAGTTTTACAAGTTTTTTATCTCTTCATTTGTTTTTTAATTTTAAGGTTTTCTTCCTTTTTGCCTTCTATTTCTCTTAAGGTTGTATTTACTGTGTTTATTTACTTTAGTGTTACCTTTAGTTCTCATATATCTGAAACAATTTTTACTTTCATTTTTAATTCTTTACTATTTTTTTTATTCTTCTGAGTTTTTCTAATTCCCATTTAATTTGTTTGTTCATAAATATTCTGACATTTTCTTAAATTCTTTTATCTCTTCTTGTAACATTAGGTTGACATTTTTATCTTTTATTTGTAAATGACATCTTACCATGTTTTCTCTTCTCATAATAATTTTATGGAGAATTTAACAACAATTCTTTTCTGTTACTCATTTTTGTGTGAAATTAGTTTTCCTGAATTACAGGATGGATCAAGAAAGCTTTTATAGCTACACGATCTAAAGCTCCCTCTTCAGTTATTTTCATGTTTCCAGAAATGTGGCACTGTACTTTTTGAGATCTACTGGCTTTTTTTTTCCTTACCCACTTTTATCCTGATTTTATTTTTCTTATGCCCCTACTATCCTTTTTGCTTGACAAATGAAATTAAATGTTTCTGGTCATTCTGTATTAATGATTTTATTTTAAAATTTGAAGTACAGTTTCAAGTTTAGCATTTGAATTTAGAGAAATACAGGGTTTTCTAATATGATTTAATATTCTCAGTCTCAAAAGCAGTTTGTATCTTTAACAGTTTTTATTCAGAGGCTCCAGCATATCTCATAGATCTGATGCATGATAAAAACAATGAAATCCGAAAGGTCTGTGATAATACGTTAGATATTATAGCGGTAAGTAATTATTCTTTCTACACAGTGTACTTGGGGGAGAGACACTGTAAACCTATTTTGAACTATGCAGTCACTGTAAACACAAATTTGTAATTTGATAAAGTTCAGGAAATATGATGATACTAAATTCATTTTTTAAACATTAAGACCTTTGACTTTCAGCTTTTAGGTATAGGTTCCCTTCTTAAAGAGGTTTTTTACATATTCAAAGTTGTAGGTTCAGTCTATATGTTATCTTAGAAGCACTTGGTTTTCACAGAAAGCATTTTGTAGAAGAAGGAAGTTAAATGACAATTTTTGCCAAAACACAATCGACTTTGCAGTTTGACCATTGATTTTTTTAAGTAAATCAAACTTGGATAAACTATTTTTCAATTACTTGATCATTTTTCTTATATGCATAGACTTGTTTTGTAACTTGCTTTGGAATGATGGAGCACATACAAATCTTAATGTTATTTATGACTTAGAGATTTTTTAAACAATTATGACTGGAGGGATATGATCAGAGGAATGATTCAAGTCCTGGGTTAAAAACTCACTGAGTTTGCAAACTTTTCTCCCAAAATTAGACTGCCCACCACGGTCTTCTGCCTGGTCTCAAGCATTGTACCAGGGTTGTGTGAGATACTATTCTGAATATCTTTTTCATATATGCCATAAACTGGTATAACCTGCATGCCTCCTCCTTTTAACTGGATTTATACTTTTTACTTTGGCTTACCCTGTAAAAAGTTTCCTAAAAATAGCCTATTCAGTAGTTTAGAAAGTTTAACTGAAGCTTTTCAACTAAATCAGCATAACATTTTAAAGAATTAACAACGTTATTGGAAATCCTGTAAGTTAACATTTATGCTAGTGACTTCAGTATGAAATGAGATGATCATCAGGAGCTGCTCCAGTTTTCTAATCAATTTTCCATGTTTTATTTCAGATATTCTTCTTATTTAATATCATTTGCTTTTCAAATTTGACTGAATATCTCGTAACTGGTTTAGAACTTAATGGGTCTATTAACATTTTAGCTTTGATGTCTAAATCTGAATAGAGAGACTTTACATATGAATCCTTGCCTTTTGAAGATATCACCTGCATGCAGGCTACTAGTCATAGGACTTGTGAATGTGAACAGTTTATTACTCCTAGAGAGTAATTTCATGGCTCATGTGCTATTTTCTAGTATATCATTAATGTCATCATTGTTATATAAGCATATAGTAATAAGAATAAGAAGCCTCTTAAAGTACTTAATATCATTATGTCATCATAGGTAGTAAGGAAAGGAGACACGTCAGTCTGTTAAGATTTGCCTTCAGCATGCTTTTTAATTACTTTATTTTGAGGAAAGATAGATGGAAGGTAATAATATGTTTAGATTTACATATTAGATATGTTTGGTTTAGAATGTACACTAAGTAGTGATAGTTCCAAGGGCCAGTCCAGCCTTATTAAAAAAATATTTAGTATATAATATAAAAATATTTAGTATAAAATGAAAATATTTTTATTCCCAATGATTTCTAAAATCTGGGCTCAAGTCTCTCTTAAACTGGAGTCACCACACCCTATATCTACCTTTCTTTTCCAGATACTGTCTTACCTCTCTCCTCTCTAGAGCCAAAGTTTTGAAAAAAAATCTGTACATTTTGTTTTCTTCTTTTCCTCACTTCTCCCCTTTCTCCTTTCAATCTAAGCCAATTCTGGCTCCTGCCTCCATTACTACATTAAAATCATTCTCACTAGAATCAGCCTTACCTTCATGTTTTAAAATCTAATGAGCATTTTACTTTGTTAAGCTTACCTTCCATGAAGGAAACTTAATACTCCTGGCCAGAGTTAAAATGTAAAATCACAAAGAAAATTATGTTAGATTATTAAAACCATTAAGAGCCTTGTTGATATGAGAACTTCAAAGGAGAAGAATCAGCAGCGTGAAGCTGGTGATATGTCAGCTATATATGGCTCCCAGAGATGCTGTCTGGTCACTTGAGTTAATTTTTAAAAATCTAGACAGGTAATCTGAGGAGTTTAGTTCTCCTAATCTGTCTATGGAGCCCTGGTGGCACAATGGTTAAGAGCTCGGCTGCTAACCAAAAGGTTGGCAGTTTGAATCCACCAGCTCCTTGGAAACCCTATGGGGCAGTTCTACTCAGTCCTATAGGGTCACTATGACTTGGAATCAACTTGATGGCAACGGGTTTGTTTTTGTTTAATCTCCCTATGAATCTCTATGCTAGATTTAGAAAGTAAGTGTCTGATAATAATGCCAAATCCTATGGATTGTTAGATTTCACACAGCTGATAGAAGGGCACCAGGCTGTGGAATTCTGCTAGGAGGATGTTTCTTTATCTTTCTGCTCTTACACTGCTTTAATGTTCAAGATCCTGGTTCAGTCTTAGGATGATAGTAGGGAACTGTTGCCACTGAGAGTAGCTCCATCCCAAAACGTTTTCCTCTTCTCAGTTGAGTAGGAGGTCCTAGTCTTAAATTCAATTTTTGTCTTCCGTGAAGTAGCAACTTGGTCTAATAGAAAGCGTGTTGCATCAGGAATACAACTGAACTCCAGTTCTTCTACTTAACCTGCTGAATAATCTTAGGCAATTTAACTTTTTGAGGGCTCTGTTTATAAGGACACTTCTGAGGATTAGAGAGTTATTGTAGGATTAGAGAAAATGTATATATGGAGCATCTACCACATCATTGTCACTCAATATGTCTTTGTTCAAATTAGACCAAAACCCAGACCTAGCTGAAGAGTTTATGAACTGATTAAATATCTGGACCAATGTTTCCCTTCCTTGGTATCTATATTATGTACTGTTCATCTTAATTGTTAAATGGCATGGAAAAATAATCTGTTCACAGTTTGGAATTTAACTGTGGAAAATTATTTAGAACATTATTTTGGACAGACATAACTATTATTTATAGTTTATATTTGAGATTATCCTGCAAAATGACAGAGCTTGGCCCTTTTTAATTTCATGTCAGGGTAGTTAACTGAGTTAGGGCAGTTAACTGAACGGACTTGATAGAACAGTGTAGTAAGTAGGAAGCTGCCTGTTCTAGTGTGGATGTGCTCCATCTGTTGAATTACCCACATTCTGAATCTATGGTGAGTTATTTGGATTTAGACTTAATTTATAAGCTAATTTCAGACCAAAGTTACATGTATAGCTTGCTGAGCCTCAAAATTTGAGGGATGGGCCATTTTTGTGCATCAGTAAACCCATAACTTCTCAGTTCTTCTTGGGACATAGTTGCCAGTTTTGGCTCTCTGAGCCCTGGTTCTGTTACTAATCACAACTGAGGGTGCTAGTTGCCTGTCCTGAATCTTTTTCCAGGAGCAAAACAAGAGGAAATTAACTCGATTTAAGGCAAGAAGCACTGTGGTTAGACACAGCAAGTGTGAAGAAACACTAGAAATAGACTGTCAAGGGAGAATGTGAAATCTCTGTCCTTCAGTTAGCATCACTAATGACTAACTTTCTAAGATTGTTGGAAACCCGCCTAGGATGGGAGTGAATGATCTCTTAGGGCTCTTTTCATCTGTAGATTTTGATTTCATAGAATTGTCAGCATGACTATATTCTATGATAATAAAAAATTCAAAAAGTATATAGAGAATGGGAACATTTGTAGCTCAAAGTAATTCATCTTTACAAAAGCAAACTTCTTTTCCGTTCAAGATAGGCAGTGTGGAGTAATACTAAGAAAAACTAGATGCCTTGCAGGCCTTAGAGAAATATGCCTTCTTCACTAAAGTAAATGTCACAAAAATTATGCAAATGCTACACTAGTGATGATTTGTTTCATGTAGTTGAGCCTAAGCCCTCAACTGATGAATTGAAACAGATGTTGGGTGGTAGTACTCTGTACACCATGGAGGATTCCATGACTTGGCGATGCAGTCTCTGTGACCTCATCAGCAAGTTGTTGCCTGTGTGACTAGGCCTTACTGATACCTTGGGGAGGCAGAAGATGTGGTAGGTGCAGAGAGAAGCAAGGAGGCAAGGAGAGAGGAGCCTAGCTACTTGATCTTCCAAGGGGATTACAGGGCAGTTGACCATTGCCTTTTCTTTTCCAAGTCTTTGAAATCATGAAGGAAAGAATGGAACCCTCTACACATCTAATCTAGAAAGCTCTAAAAATGCAGTTTGTTTTTGTATCTTTGTATCCTTCAGTACTTCTTCAGTTTTGTTTGGAGAATTTGAGAACCTCATAAACTTCTCTGCTACTGGAAGAAAATTCCTCCCCTGACATTTCCAGGTTGTCAAACATTGAATACATGTTTATTAATCCCATACTGTTTGCTGGACACTATGGGAATTCAAAACTCAACAGAAAATCCCTATTTAAATGTTTACAATCTAGACTCAGAAGACACCAGGACGTTGTCATCTGCACATATGAATTGGCCTTCCAGAAGTAGTACTATCACATGGACTTACTTATAGATGTTCTATCCTAATAGCACACTGTATCTACAGGGTGTGTATGGGGAAAGGGATAGAACTGGGTTCTCTGGTTAAAAACTGATGTCTATTATCTTTCTAGCCAGCCACAAGCCATTTTGTGATTTGGGTACTAACTCAGGGTTTGTGTTACTGAGATTTTGAATGGCAGCCCTTCATCTTTTAACTGTAATTCTGATGATGGGCAGATTGTATGTGTTTTAATAACCTAGACTTAATACTTAGCTCTGGTGGCATATAATTTATTTCCAAAACTATTTTAAACTGCTATGTTCATTCCAGAACAGAACAAATTATATTTAATAAGGCTGCTTTATTAAAATGAGATAAACTAATGTTGGTTTAGATATAGCTTTTAAGACATATCATTTCTGTTATGGTTCCCACAAAGATTACCAGGAAAACCTGTGTCAGACAAAAAAAGCTAGGTTTATTAATTTTGCCAGCAAGGGACAGCACTTTTTAAAATGTCTTACATCTTGAAAGGGAAAGTTATAGAGAACTTTTTATAAGGTTAAGATTAG